AGCGTAAAGCATGGCCGGTCTAAAAACTTGTTTAAATATTAGAAGTTTATTCGTCAGACAAAGTTTGGATTTCCTGTTTATAAGAGGATACAAACATTTAATATATTTGTTACATTTGGCTTGAATGCCCTCAATGTGATCTTTAAAAGTTAATTTTTGGTCAAGTATTAATCCAAGATATTTCACTTGGTTTGACCAGGAAATTGGAACTCCGTTCATAGTGACTATGTGACTACTACTAGGTTTCAAAAACGAAGCTCTAGGCTTATGTGGAAATATTATAAGTTGAGTTTTGGAAGCGTTGGGAGAAATCTTCCATTTTTGTAAATAAGAAGAGAAAATATCTAAACTTTTCTGAAGTCTGCTGCAAATAACACGAAGACTTCTTCCTTTAGCGGAAATGCCTGTGTCATCAGCGAACAAAGATTTGTGGCAACCCTGAGGCAAATCAGGGAGGTCCGAAGTGAAAATGTTATACAATATAGGCCCAAGAATGCTACCCTGAGGAACTCCTGCCCTAACAGGTAGTCGATTAGATTTGGAATTTTGATAATTTACTTGAAGAGTTCTGTCAGTTAAATAATTTTGAACTAATTTCATAATATAAAGTGGAAAATTAAACTTTTTCAATTTAGCAATCAAACCTTCATGCCAAACACTGTCGAATGCTTTTTCTATGTCTAGAAGAGCAACTCCAGTTGAGTGGCCTTCAGATTTGTTTGAACGAATTAAATTGTTAACTCTTAAGAGTTGATGAGTAGTTGAATGCCCATGGCGAAATCCAAACTGCTCATCTGCAAAAATTGAGTTCGTATTGATGTGAAGCATCATTCTATTCAAAATTATCTTTTCAAAAAGTTTACTTATTGAAGAAAGCAAACTTATTGGACGGTAGCTAGAAGCTTCAGCTGGATTTTTATCCGGCTTCAAAATTGGAACAACTTTTGCATTTTTCCATTTATCAGGAAAGTATGCCAAATGGAAACATCTGTTAAATAATTTTACCAAGAAAGACAAGGTACTCTCTGGGAGTTTTTTGATGAGGATATAGAAAATTCCATCATCACCTGGAGCTTTCATATTTTGAAAATTTTTAGTTATAGACCTTACTTCGTCCAAATCAGTCCCCCAGGAATCATCAAAAATATTTTCCCGAGAGAAAATATTCAGAAAATCCCGAGCAACCTGATTCTCAATAGGACTAGTAAGACCCAAACTGAAATTATGGGAACTCTCGAATTGCTTAGCAAGTTTCTGAGCTTTTTCCAAATTTGTGATCAAAATTTTACCACCTTCTTTAAGCGCTGGAATAGGCTTTTGAGGTTTTTTCAAAATTTTTGTGAGTTTCCAAAAGGGTTTGGAACTCGGGTCTAATTTAGAAATATTATTTTCAAAAGTTTTGTTCCTCAGGGCAGAGAATCGCTTTTTAATTTGTTTTTGCAAATCCCGCCAGATAACTTTCATGGCAGGATCGCGTGTTCTTTGATATTGTCTCCTACGGACATTTTTAAGACGGATCAAGAGCTGAAGATCATCGTCTATTATAATTGAATCGAATTTAACCTCGCATTTTGGTACTGAGGCAGCTCTCGCTTCAACTATAGAAGTAGTCAGAGATTCAAGAGCATAATTAATTTCATCTTTGGTTTGCAAAGGAATGTTTGGATCGAAGTTATATTCCATAAATGTTCGATACTGCTCCCAATCAGCTCTATGGTAATTGAAAGTAGAGCTGTTGGGATTACAAATTATTTCTTGGGATATTTCAAAAGTTACTGGAAGGTGATCAGAACCGAAGTCAGCATGGGTAAACAATTGGCTACAAAGTTGACACGAATCAGTTAAGACCAAATCAATGGTGGAGGGATTTCTTGCAGAAGAAAAGCATGTTGGGCTGTTTGGATATTGAATAGTGTAATAACCTGCAGAACAATCATCAAACAGAATATTACCATTGGAATTGCTTTGAGCATTATTCCATGAGCGGTGTTTTGCATTAAAATCACCAATAATGAAGAATTTAGACCTATGACGGGTAAGTTTCTGGAGGTCACCCTTGAGAAAATTCTTTTGCTGGCCTACGCATTGGAATGGCAAATAGGCAGCTATAAACGTAAGTTGTCCAAATTTTGTTTCAACAGAAACCCCCAAAGTTTCAAAAACTTTGGTTTCAAATGAAGAAAGAATTTTATGTTTGATTCGTCTATGAATAATGATGGCAACGCCACCACAGGGTCCATCAAGACGATCATTTCTATAAATCAAGTAGTTTGCGTCCTTCTTAACCTTATGGGCAGGTTTAAGGAACGTTTCAGTTATAACGGCAATATGCACGTTATGAACTCTTAAAAAGTTAAATAGCTCGTCTTCATTATCTTTAAGAGATCGAGCATTCCAATTTACAATATTTAATGCTTTAAAATCCATTACTGAATTTTAAAGTCATGACAATATTATTTGCAAATTTTACTCCAGTTTGAATAGCATCAAACATGGAGTTAGATTTAAGCATATCAGAAATCATGTCAATTAATGAATTCTGTAAAAATTCCATTTTGGGGGCAGTAATGCTTCCTAAGTCAAAATTGTCAAAATTTCCATTAGAACGTTGGTTAGTATTTTGATTTCTACCCGCTGCAATAGCAGCATAGGTAGCTCCATTAACTCGCTGAACATTGTTAGCAGCGAGGGGAGTAGGTACAGATGAAACATTTGAAGCAGGGGAGATATTTGTACCTACGGGTACGAATGTAGAATTTGTTCCTCGCTGACCGTTGTTAACAGCAGAGGAATTTGTACCTGGTCGGAAACGTGGAGCGTTTCCTACCTGACGGTTAGAACGAGATTGTAGGATCGCTTTGCGAGTCTTACATTCCCAAAAATTGGATTTGTGGTTTTCACCACAATTTGAACATTTAAATTTCTTAGGATCTTCCTTCACAGGACAGTCGTCCTTTGCGTGAGAGGAATCACCACAATTCATGCATTTAGCTGGCATGTAACAATTTTTAGTTCCGTGACCCCATCCCTGGCACTTACGGCACTGGGTGAGGTTTTGGAAATTTCCTCCAGTCTTCCTGAAGTGTTCCCACTTCACTCGGACATGGAGCATAAGGCTAGCTTTTTCTAAGGCCTTAAGGTTGTTTAGTTCACTAGACTTGAAGTGAACTAAATAAAAATCATTAGAAATCCCGTTGCGCGAATCGCCAGGACGGGATTTCATTTTCATTTTGATTACTTGGAGTGGCACAACTCCAAGTAATTTTGCCAGTTCATCTTTGATCTGATCCAGGGATTCACCACTGGGCAGTCCTTTCATGACAACCTTGAACACACGTTCAGTTTTGGTGTCGTAAGTAAAAAATTTGTGCTTCTTCTCAGTAAGATACTTGAGAAGACATTTAAATCCGTCCAAGGTTTCAGCCAATACACGGCATTCACCCCGACGTCCAATTTGTAGTGAAAACTTAACTTTCACGAAATTCAAAAGTTCCATGCGAAGAGCATGGAAATCGGTAGTGGTTATCACAATAGGGGGAATCTTTTCCTTCTTGGCATTAAGCCGGGAAAGTTTACTAGAATTTTTCTTGGATGATGGATCATTCTCATCATCCGTGAGCAAATCAAATTGATTACTCAAATTAATTTCATCAGAAGGGGGGTCAAGAGTTTGCCCCTTTCTTTTGCGTTTAGGCGCCATGGCGGCAGTAAATTTTTATCCAAATCGACTTCCAAGCAGATTACTATAAGAATCTGAAGGATCGAAGAGGAATTTTCCAAATCGATATCCAAGAAGGATTACCTCGGGTAGGGTCCAAACAAGGATCGAAGAGGAATAAGAGTTGAACAAGGTAGAAAATTTTTACAGGTTGAGCACTGAAAAGTGCTGTTAAAATTTGTTGTAGCTTTAGGTAGTAGTAACACTTCCTTCAGCAAAAAGCAATTAGATCCGCACGGCAAGAGAGCACGATGCGGACTGAAGGCGAGTGATATTGATTTGGAACTCTGTAAGCTGATGCTGATATCAGGGATTTGAGACAATCTGCATTTTTTAGACATTGATATTGATATTTTTCAGCACTGCACAGCTATTCATAAACTAAGTAGACAGTTTTTTGAGATATTTTAGAAGGGGGTTTAACCCTGCGTAGACAATCTTTCATACACATGTTTGGAAATGTGTATGGACCGTAGACAATTGCCTCTCCCATTGTTGTCTACTTCGTTTATGAACAGCCCCTTACTTCATGTTTGAGGTCCTGGCTTGATGTCGATGTGCTTAACTTGCAGCAGGCTTCACTTTTTTTTACAAATTTTTGTTAGTTTTGCACAGAAACCCATTAAAAATCGTTTTCTGTGTGAGAAGAATTTTGATATACAGATTTTTTTTTCTTTGCCAGGGAGGCAGCTCCCACCACCTGGACCCTACCTATCGATCCATCAACTCATGAACCGGGGACCAACGGCTTTACTTCCCTGGGAAGGTGTGATCAGAGATTTTATGCCTCAGAAAATCCCGGCGGTGCCGACTGGCATTGAACCCAGGCCTTTTGGGATGAGAGGCAATCACGCTGACTACTACACCGGCGCCACTTAATATACAGATGATAGTTTTAAAAAATTCCAATAGTTGCTGTTGTACGATTTTTCTCAGTTTTGAAATGTACAATTTGAAAATTTCAAGAAATTTGTCAAAAGTTTATTATAAACTTAAAAAAATTATTTTTAAATAATTAAATCAAATGGGCCACTTTAAGGTTAGGCAATAAAGAAGCCATTCTTAGTAGAAATATATAATTTCCATTAAGAATTGCAAGAGTGAGTATGTGCACTGCACATTGTGCAGGTTATCCTTAAATTAGATCGAAATTCTATCGACTTAGAAATCATTCACTTTGTTTGATTGTATATTTCATCATTTATTTCTCAGATCACACACCAAAGCTAACCCGATCTCATTCTCCGTTGGATGTCTTTGATCGAGAACTGGCAATTATTCGCATGAAAGATCGAATAAAACATGCACTCAACATGAAAAATGAAAACAACACTTTGAACGAATACGTCCTTTCGGTGTTCAACATTGAAAATCTCAACCCCACATATGTGTTTTTGCTGCCCAGTGGTGAAAAGAATAAAATTCACAAAATAATCTATCAGAAAAGTGACTTTCTGGATGCTGAGTTTCCTAACGTTACATCGCTAAATAAATTTAAACGGAGCTTAAATATTTCAAATGAGCTAAAGGAAGCCGACTATCCAGATATGGAATTGAAATCATTTGCACATAATTCTGACAACGAAGATGTGGAAGACAGCATGTTAGAGATTGTAGCAGACAACATCCGAACTGAACGTAGTTTTATCAAATTCATGGATGAATTGAACGATGATTTGGAGGATGAACTGAAACGACAAGCACTGAAACACAAACAAAAATTGCACAGTGGCTCATCTTCAAAAAGGACCAACTTATTTACGCCTTATACATACGTGAACACACAAACAGTTGGTTGGGATGATTTAGGACTTGACGGATGGAGCGGTGGCCTGAGGGAAGTAACAAGTCATAAGTTTGAGCAACCAGTTTTGGAAAGGTAAATTTATTTTGTGCGCTGTTTTTCATAACATAAGCTTTATTACTTTTCCATTTTCGAGGCCTAAATCAGTTCCAGTCCGTCATGAGCCAGTTGTGAGTATACAGGCTAGTTTCGATCCACTGAAGTTCCTCAGGATACCCGTTACAACAAACGCAGTGCTGCCTAGTGCTGTACCTAACACCGTATTGAATAGTACTTCCGATCCGCAAAGGAACAAAAACCCCGGGTTGATAGTGAGCAGTGAGCTGGAAGACAAATTAGAAGAAATCTACAACAGGACAAAGGCCATTCCAGGGAAGCCTCCTCGTTGGCCGATTACCAACAGCCGTGATGCACATCGTGACGAGGATGTATTCATAGCACGTGCTAATAACCCGTTTGGACACTCTACCAAGTGGCGCTGGAGGTAAGATGTGAATCAATATTTGTTTCATATTAAATACAAATGTTGTGGTTTTTATACTGAGAAACATGTTATGAACATTACTAGTAGTGAGAGTCGAATTGGGACCTTCTGGAACAACAGTCATGTGCCTGTGTCCTTCAGGCTAAACATGATGATAATTATTATTTTGGAAATTGGCTTATTTAAACGCACAGGTTGTGCAGACCTCAATATTCACGTATACACACTTAATCTAGCTCGGTAAAATCTCCAACAGCCGATTACCTCGGCATTTACTTTTGCTGGTATCTCTACTTGTTCGCTGATATCTCAGAAAAATGTTATTTTTTAGCTAAGTCACAGCAATTGTTTTACGGCTGTTGGAATATCGGCGAAGAAATTTAATGGTTTATGCTCGCTTTCCTGCCTTGAGTGTAACTTTTTCGAAGATTTTCAATATGGAGGAAATGGCTCTAATGTTCTAAGATTGGGCCCATCGCTAAAAATCTGCTATTTATCAATTTTATCTAGATGAACGCGTCACTGGGACGGTACTAATGGATATTTTTGGTCGCTATTGAAAATTTAGTCGATTGCTGAATTTATGTATGGGCCCAAATTAGGGACATTTAGGCCGACATTACCTGCATTTCCCCTATATAACATATTCTACAAAGTTGTTTGCCGTACAAAAATACATATTTTTGCTGAACATTGTAACGTGCATTAAAATTAAAATATGTATTAAAAAATTAGACATTTGCAGGAGTTTTTTAGTCATCAAAAAACACATAAAAGATCGCGTGCTGACACATGTTTTTATAACTTTTCATCAGTAAAATAAGTATAGATTAAGAATCTCACCTAGATTTCTGCGCCAATTTGCGCCGGAAATAATAAAAATATCGATTATTCAAGAATAACTTTTTTGTTTCAAGAGGTAATTATTTACAATGTTCAGCAAAAGCATGTGTTTAAACTTGCAAAATATAGTTGTAGAAGAAACCAAAATTTTACAATGTCTAGAAAATCAGTTATACTAAAAACATGATTTAAAGGGGCCTTTCACGAAAAATGGTACATATCTTGCAATTTATAAGAGGTTTTTTAGGTGTTCAGCAAAGTTGCTTAAAATAATATTTGCTACAACTTTATTGAAGACGTTGTGTCTCTATCTGAACCAGATAAAAAAAAATTTTTTGATCTCACCAAACCGTCCACATCAAAAGAAGTGGTTTAACATATGCAAAAATATCTTTGAACAAACTATAGCCCTAAAATCAATGTTTGAGATGCTATTAAAAAAGCGCACGAAAACGGCAAAAAGCAACACTGTGCAGTCCCAAGGCAAACCAGCCAATTGGAAGATTGCCGCAAAAGCTCAACGCAGATGTCGCCACTGCATGATGATGATAATGTTGACAGACTGCATATAAAATTCGTGAAAAATAGCATTAAATCATAATTTTCATCAAGCCTGCGTGAAATCCTTCCAATATAACATTCGAATTGAAGAAGAAAACGTTTTTACGATCAGACTGATGTGCATCTTTGACTTTTCCTGGTGAGCTTTCATAAGATATATTCATTTAATTTCACGGCTCCATCAATGCTGCATCGTAAATATGATGGTAAACAGAAGTAAATTGCTCAATTACTCAAAATAAAGATGATTTGTCATCTTGTTATCACTTTGAAGACCATCTAGCACCATTTTATAGCATGGTGCGTGTTGAGTAAATCAAGTTCTGGTGCGTTTTCCGACGAAAATTGTGAGTATCAATATGTTTGCTTAAAAAAGGCCAAAATGAACATTTATTGAATATTGGCGTCCTATACAACCAATTCACTATTACCACCAGCATGATACAACCTTTCCTAAGTAAATTCACTTAATTTCCACTTTCATCTTAGTGAAAATCGCACATATTTACCATTTTCTGAAAAATGCAGCTGCGCAGGAGGTAACCTCTCCCTGTGGGTGCAAACTTGTTATGCATAGTTTGCCATGAAAACATCTCCGATCCATACCGAAATAATAACAAATAGTTTTCAAACAAGGTTTCTTACACGATTCAAGCAAAAGTTTCCACGGGAAATTATGAGTTTTTCTTTATGGACCGATTTGCGCCAAAAAGCGTCTGTTTTACTTGGAAAATTTGGTAACTATCCTCCTTCTAGTAGTTCTCACTTCGAAATGTAGGTGGCGAAAGCTTGGAAAAGTTTCACTGCAAGACGCCAATGGCTGAAAGCCTTGTAAATAAAGGAAAGAAAAAAAAACACTGTGCAGTATTAGCAATGTTGGTTAAGGTTCAATTTACTTTGATGTATTTTTTAAAACTTCAAAAGCAGTTTTTTTTTGACGCATTATTTAAGATTGCAAAAAGCTCACGCCATTTTGTGTAAAATATCAAAAGGAATCGAATAGTGCGAGCTTTTTGCAATCTGAAATAATGCGTCGGAAAAAACTGCTTTTGAAATTTTCTAAAAAGCATCAAAGTAAATTGAACCTTGGCTTGTTAGCATTAGCAATACTGTCTAAGGGTTCATTAGCACTAGTAATGCTGAAATAAAGCAGATTTAAGACTTTGTAATAATGCTTATGGTTATACTTGGATATAATAGTCACCTACAAAAAGATCAGCACGATCGGTTGCAGGACAGCTGAGAAATAGCCGCGCTATTCGGGAGCTTCTTGTCTTAAGACAAAGCAAATCAATTATGCTAAAAATTTTATATGACAATTCAAGCTGAACATTGCATTAGGTCCTTCGTCGAATTTCTCTTTGTATCCCCACGGCCATGTAAAGACATTCCAAGGTATTTTCAGCACACAGTTCGATAAAAGAAGCTTTTATCTAGTATCTAATACGACAAACAAAACAAGAAACGATTATGTGCTCAAGTTATTAACGAAAGTGAAAGTCGACGAAGAGAATCGAGCAATGTAACTTAGGACCTAATGCAATGTTCAGCTTGAATTCGAATAAATCTTTTCAGCTATTTCTGATGGAAAAACAATATTTAAAGGATTTTAAATATTATAATTGCGAGTTTCATAGCGGCGCTGGTGGTGTAGTTTTTTTTTTTTAGTAATCGATACGCATCATAAACAATCTGGACGACCATGGAGATGGACCGAGATACTTTTTCCCTTGAAGAAGAACTAGCTGAGCAGTTTGACATTATTCTGTTGAGCACAATGAAACAGTCAGTTTGTTTTTGTCAGAGAGAAAAAAAAATAATCCATAACTGTATACTTACATCTTGCTAATATCTTTCAAAAATACCGAAAAAAGCACATCATGATGCTGCCATGATTTGCACCGCTATGAGTGTACGTACCACTCTTTTTTAAACTTGGAAATCACATAAACTTTACGTAAAACGCACATAGACTCAGTGTTATGGGAAAATTTCATTGATTATGTTCAAAAGGAACTCCCTGTAAAATTCAAGGGACAACACATACATCACATCCTTTTTTTTTCCTTTGATTTGTTTTTTCCGTCGATCTTGTTTTCCGTGCTGAGCACCAATGCTACCGACGTGCCAGGAAGGCAGCTCCCACACCTGGACCCTACCTATCGACCCATCAACTCATGAACCGGGGACCAACGGCTTTACTTCCCATCCGAAGGAAGGCGTGATCAGAGATGTTATGCCTCAGAACATCCCGGCGGCGCCGACTGGGATTGAACCCAGGCCTGCTGGGGTGAGAGGTAATCACGCTTACCGCTACACCACCGGCGCCGTTCAGCTTCACATCCTTAACATATTGTTTTCAAGTAATGTGAGAATAATCCTTGGGCTACTCCTGAAAAAATCGCGCGTTATCCGGAGGTTAAAAACGACTTGGGCGTTAACGGGTTAAGACCATCTTAAAGCTTTTAAAATGGTAAGAATTCATTCAAAAATAACTTATTGTTAATTTTAGAGGCACTGACGGATTAATCATCAAATCAATGTGAATGGATCGCCAACTGACGAATTGATCAGACTAGACCTTCTTCGATTTGTATGATACGTTGCATAATTGTTTGTTATGGGCAATAGGGTGGTTCAAAATATCGATTTTGCTCCACTAAGCTTAATCGATTCTAAATCAGGTCCTGATCATTCTCCCAAAATTTGAGCTCATTTGGCTACGATCTCATACTGGTCTTTTGAAGTTTATATTGGAATTACTATGGTAAAAGTGAACTTTTTGCTCTCATTCTCCTAGTTTGTCGTCAAAATAATTTACTAATACAAGCTTTCTACTTGTAAATCAATGAATTTTTATTTGCTACAACTTTGCTGAATCTCACTTTTTGGTTGAACGTCAAACAAATTAGTTTTTAATTGATTTCGAAGCCAATATTTAACATTGTGAAATGATTAACCGACTGCTTTCAGGGCAACACTGCCTCTTGCACTACACACTATTTTGAGGTTACTCATTTTTGAGTCGCTTCAGTTCAGCCAAAAAAGCAGTTACTCAAAAATGAGTAAACATGCGTTTACTCAAATTTGAGTAAACGTGCCTATGGAGGAAACTGGGTAACGGTTTATTTATTTATTTATTTATTTATTTGTCTGCATCAACAGGCTGTGTATAGCCCCAATGATGATTTAAGTAACTTATATAGGTAAATCAAAAAATAAAAACTAAGAATAAAATACATAAATAAAACACACAATCATTCACGGTTAACTGTGCCAGAAAAGAACGATGAGAAGTATCTTTGTAGCAGCTGTCGAGGCATATGGAAATCGAAGATGCCCGAAACTCGATTGAACACTCGTTGCAGCCCATCTATTGCACCGTTCATGCCATAGTTTGTGCGCTGAAGTGGCAATCTCAGCATAACGTTGTTACGTAGCGCACGGGGTTGGACGTTAATGTTGAATTGCCCCAAGATTGCACTGCAATCAATTCTACCTTGTAAAGTGTCCGCAATGAACAGGGCCCTAGAGGTGTCTCTTCTAGTTCGGAGAGGCTCCAGATCAGTGCTGAGATTTGTCATTGTCATTGACAGACTTTCGCGCGATATTGACAAAATTGTTCGTCACATAGTCACTGACAGACTTGATCCTCAAAAAAACCTTCGTCAAAATCTCATTCATTTTTTCGTCAATGACAAAGGTTCACCTGGTAACAAAAAGTGTAATTTAGTACATTCTGTGTCACATTATTGTTATCCAAGTAGCTCAGGACGTAGATACTTGTTCACTAAAATGGATCCATGTAATTGTTTTGCTCAAGTCATTTAATTTTGTTACAAATTTAGCTAATAAACAAATCTGCACATGTTCGTCACTGACACCATTTTCATTGACAATTGACATGGTTTGCCTTGACTATGACTGTAAGCTAAAATGAGTGACCAAAACAGAATTGTCAATATCACCGTGTACTGTCAAGATTTTGCAGCACTGCTCCAGATCAATCAGCTGGCAACGACTTTCATAGCTGGGCAGGTGAAATGGGTCTCTCCAAGGCAGCTTTCGCAGAGCGAATCGAAGAAAACGGCGTTAAACGGACTCGGACTCTTTCTTCCGAGTAAAAGTGATCACTGGACACTTAGTGGGGTTAACCACCATTCGGTTCAAATTACACCAGCTGGCAAAGGCTTCGAACTGACGTTGAAGGAAGCGACAGTCATCAATCGAGCGGATTCGTAGGTAGATTTTAAGATCGTCTGCATACGGTAGTCGTGGGCCTTCGATGACCAAGTTCACGTCATTGAAGTAGAGTAAGAAAATCAAAGGTCCCAGGTGACTTCCTTGAGGTATTCCTGACGTAGCTAGATAGATATTGGACCGATTGTCACCAATGGCAACCATCAGTTGCCGATCAGTGAGATATGAGCGAAACCATCGCAAGAGGTTGCCGCTGACCCCAAGTCTATGCAACTTGGCAATCGCGATGGCATGGTTTAGCTTATCGAAGGCAGCTGACAAGTCGATGTATATGACGTCTGTTTGAGTCCTCTCTGCCATGCTTTCCGTAAGATACGATGTCAAACACAGCAGATTTGTGGAAGTAGAACGACCGGAAGTGAAGCCGTGTTGATCACCACTTAGATACTGCTTACAATGAGAGAGTAGAGGCTCCATGATGACTAACTCGAATAACTTCGAAACTGCACTCAACGACGTAATTCCACGATAATTGTCCACATCCCGTTTGCTGCCCTTTTTGTGGATAGGAAACATATGTGCGAATTTCCAACAAGATGGAAATGTACCACTCGAGATGGAAAATCGAAATAGATGAAGCATGGGCATCAGTAAGCTGGCGATATGCTTTTTCAGGAATACAGATGGAACGCCATCGGGTCCTGGATTGAAAGACGACTTGAGTTGTGATGCGGCAGTGGAAATCATCTCGACGTTGACATCCATCGCACCCAGTGTTTGACCGTACAGTGGAACATTACTAGCTGCTAGGGTAACGTGTTCGTCAGTTAATCTCTCATTCGTGAAAACACTGGCGACCTTCTCAGAAAACAAGCGACAGATCTGCTGAGGAGTGGAAGCAACTGCTCCATTCAACACCATGTTCATGTTCAATATTTCAGGTTTATTAAACAAAGCTTTTCCAGAAGGACAGGGACCTTCTTACGAAATGCGGGAAATTTCGTTGACGTTCAGGTTGTTTTTTAAATAGATAAGATTTTAAAAATTTTCGGGACTTTTAAGATATTCAGAGGACATCAAAGAAATTCAGAAAATTTACTATAAAATCCGAGAATTTTGATGAGCTCGGGAAAATTCCCAAAATATTGGGAACCTTATACAAAAGTTATAAGTTGAATTTTGGTTAATATTAAGAAACTTCATAAAAGTTCTTCTTTTAGCTTCAGGGCACTTCTTAAAAGTTACAATAACTTCTTAAGATTTCTTAACACTTCTTAAAGTAGACCAGAAAATTCCGTAGAAATTCAGAAAACTTTGTTTTGCTTCAGGGAACTTCGTTGAAATCAACGAAATTCTAAAATTTTTTGGGAAATTTGTAGGAGTGCAGCAAACTTGGGACCTCCCTTAGCTCAGTCGGTAAAGGCACAGTTACAAAGCAAGACCATGCTGGAGGTTGCTGGGTTCGATTCCCGGTCCGGTTTAGGAATTTTTCGGGTTGGAAAATTTCTCGACTTCCCTGGACATATAGAGTATGATTGTACTTGCCACACAATTATACTAATGCAAAAATGGTACAGGCATCGAAAGCTCTCAATTAATAACTGTGGAAGTGCAACTATAGAACACTAAGTTGAAAGCACGCAAAAATCTAATATGCCATACGCAAAAAGCAACGGCGCTGGTGGTGTAGTGGTAAGCGTGATTACCTCTCACCCCAGCAGGCCTGGGTTCAATCCCAGTCGGCGCCGCCGGGATGTTCTGAGGCATAACATCTCTGATCACGCGTTCCTTCGGATGGGAAGTAAAGCCGTTGGTCCTAGGTTCATGAGTTGATGGGTCGATAGGTAGGGTCCAGGTGTGGGAGCTGCCTTCCTGGCACGTCGGTAGCATTGGTGCTCAGCACGGAAAACAAGATCGACGGAAAAAACAAACCAAAGGAAAAAAAAAATAAAAATACGCAAAAAGCTTGAAATGCGAGGAAGAAGACGAAGAAGCAAACTTCATAGAAATTCTGAAAACTTTATAGAAGTCAAGCGAATTACGTAGCAATTCGAAGAACTTCGTTAAACTTTATAGAAATGCTGAGATTTTTTTTCAAGTTCAAGGAACTTTGTCGAAGGTCAGCCAAAATTGTAGTAGCTCAGTGAAGTTTGTAGAAGTTTAGGACATTTCGCAGAAGCTCAGGGAGCATTGTGAAAATTCAGCATACTTCAGGGTTTGATATGGAAAATTTGAGAACTTAGTTTCGACCAGATGGTTAACGAAATTCGTAGAAAAGGTTCAAGTGCTTTCCTGATATTCGGAGAAGGTCATGGAAGTTCTGGGATCTTGGTCGAATTGAAGTTGATGAAACTTCGTAGAAGTTGAGAAAATTTTCAAGAAGTTAAGATTAGGGAACTATGTAGGTGTTCAAGGATTTTTTTAGAGAAATTTATCCGATTTTTTCCTATCTGCTCAGTACGGTGTGGGTTTATACTGCCATTATTTGCATTACGGTCCCATGAATTAATGGAATTCCTATTCACTTATACTAATTATATTATCTTCCTGTTCAACTATTGCGTATATGGGATAGTACTTTAACGGGTATACTTGCCGCAGCTGGTACAGATACCCTATACTTTTTAGTAGCCTTCCGACGTGATCACACATTTACTTTCCTTTGTAATCCAGTCATAAAAAGTAATAAGACCTTTCTTGTGCAAAACTGGCTGGCTTGTTGCTAATCCTACCGGTTTGACCAGCGTAATTGGGTTATAATTTGCTCCCTCAATGCAATGAGACGACACAAACCAGATACCTTTGGAGCTGGGTTGAATTCGTACCGCACGTGAAGCTCTGAGATTTAAAAACATAAACTTCCGTTTCTTACCATTGCATAATCGGAGAAGTCAAACGAGTATAAATCGTATGAATAAAACGACTAAACTACACAAACGTGTAAAACTGCTCGAACGCGTGCCGTTGTCTGTGTAAACATGAGCCCCATCCGTTAATGGTCGTAGTTGCGCTTAGCGGTTCAATCTCAGGTGCCCGCACCCGTCTTTGAGACGCAAGGGTAGTAATTGAGACTGCACATGAGTATCATACTCTGTAGTCATTGAGCGCCACTCAAGGCGCTGTATCTTCCGCTGACACACAGTGAATAACTCGTTTAAGATGCGTAGAGAAATGGCAAAGGAAAACAAACCTGATGCCCGATGCCTAGTTTTCTACTGCCCTAGATTTTATTCCACTCTCGACAATTGTATTCAATGTTATAGTACTAACTGAATTATGCAATTGTATTGTTATCTGTAGGTCGTAAAGAAAGATACAACAATAAAGGCGAACAGTTAAAATGCACCACGGAAAGCGGGCATTTAAGTCTTTTGTTTATTAAATTTGCGATGAACAATTATGCCTGTGCTTGTCATATATTAATGACTACGTTTTTCTGGTTCGTTTTATTTTTTCATTTATTTAATTTTAGCAACGAAAGTGACGAAATGGAAAGAGAGTTTGAGGAATCGGTTCAGTCGCGGGAAGGTCGCTCCAAGCGCGGAGTCTACAATCTATACTCGATGATAAAATGTACTACTGGCTGTGATCCGATCATCTACAAAGGATATGGCTGCTATTGTGGATTTCTTGGTTCCGGACAAGCTTTGGATGGCATTGACCGCTGTTGCAAAATGCATGATTACTGTTACTCGGCGGCAAAGTGTCCGATGTTTCTGGAGTATTTTGTTCCATATCTTTGGAAGTGCTACCGCGGTCGTCCATTATGTGGTAAGTTGGTTAAGTACCATAGTATGGGGTGAGTAGGAACACAGTAATGAATGGACACATTATTACTACTCTTAAAAATGGAAATACTGTTAAAGTTGTTTAGGAGTTCACATTTGTTATGTATTTTTCAGAGATTTTCAAGCATTTATCTATTTACAGCTTAAGCGTGCTTCCAGAGTGATCGCGACAAATAACGCTATGTGATCTGATCGTTAATATGTTTGGATTAGGATTTTGAAACATTTAATTAACAACACTGTGTAACAAACTTTTTTTTCTAAAACAGACTTTTTATTGTTGTGGAGGAACACAAAAAAATTTGATTTTTTTTTTGTTTTTGAAGAATTTAAAAACAAATTTTTTTGAATCAGATTTTGATTAATTCATGTGTGAAGTTTACGATTACAAAGTTGAGTCTACTTTATTAATATCTGTTTTGATGGCACTACGAATCGAACGAGCACATTTTTTTTTGTGGGACCATGCAATAATAATGCAATAATTTAGATTAGCGGGGGTCCACGGTATTGTCAAAAATATCAAACGTATGTTTTATTCGTTTACTTCGATATCATTAATATATTTGTTGTTTTGCTCGATATGACGGAAATGGAAAACCATCCGGCTATCACATCACAGAATCTGTTCTGCGAAACATTGCAAATTCTGCATTCTTTTCACGCAAATCTGTAATATAATCTTACATTTCCCGGTTGAATGTTCCTTTTGAACAAAGTATCGTACCAAACATATGTGTTCGCGGCGAATAGGGGGGATTGGGGCAAGAAGGCCATACGGGGCGAGATGGGCCACCGTTCGTTTGGGCATAATACCTATTAACTCAATCTAATTTTTTTTACAAACTTGTTGAAAATGCTTCTAATATGCATCTCCATGAAAACCGTATCAACATTCAATTACATGTCTAAGATAATAATGGGAATGTAACATTAGCTCAAAATCTCTAGAATATTATAAGATATGCAGTCAAGAAAACAAGCATTGCATTCACTATATTACATTTCACTGATCCGCTGGTTCTACAGCGAGCAATACACGTCACTGTTACTAAAACAACTTATGTTTCTATTTTACATGATTCCTGAATGTTATTTTCTAGAGAAAACCTGTCAAAACGTTAACTTTTACTAGGGTGCTCATATTGCCCCGTATGGTTGTTGATCGGAGCAAAAACTGAAATTTTTCAAACATAATATTTTATTGAGTCTATCATATTTTATCCATATTTTGAACATTGTATATTATCAAACATATTCCAAAGCATGAGCATGATCAAAGCTATCATACATTTATGAATGTTTTTCATATGTTATGATGTGTTTTTCTTTGGGGGACCATATTGCCCCTATCTACCCTACATAAAGATATCTGATGTTTCTGCTCGATAGAACGAAAATATGCGCTTATACCGCTTCTACCCTACATGTAAAACTTATCTGCATAAGATTTTTTCCTTGTGTAAGATGTTTTGCAGCTAAAATTGCTTATTGAGATGTCAACGGCGAAACCATGAGGATGGATGGACTTCCTGAATATCGTACCACTCGTGCCTATCTTCGCTTTTCTTATTACACCTTCAAATGTAAAACAGCAGAAACGAAAGCCAATCACCTTGGCGTAAACCGTAACGCTCTTCGAGATTTAAAGGGACTCGATCCATCCTTGACAAATCATGTCAGTTTATTCGGAAACCCACAAAAATTCTATATATATATGGTGTGTGTATCGAATAACATGACTATCACTTCGAAAACACTATAACGCAAGTGATGTAAGTGGTGTTGAGTACTTGGCACTGATGAAGTCTGCAAGTAGTAGACGAAATACGCGTATCTGTCAAAAGATAAGCAATTAAAACAGAATTAAAAGGAAATAAACCAACACACTCAAAGCTCTTCATAAACGGATTCCGTTAAGAGGTTCGACAAATTTAAAAGACTGTAACGCAACTTTTTAGGACAGGTCTCCTATGGTCTCCTGAGTTAAAGTACATATGTATACTTTGGCCCTAATACGTCCCGTGCTTTAGGTACCCCGCTCTTTATGAAGCTATACCGCCCCGATGTCAATCATACAAGGTCTGGAACAACAGGCAGCTTGCTGGTGTTAGAAGCAAAAATGTTGTAAACGTTGCTGAGCAAGCGAATGACGATGTCACGGCAGCACAACATTCCATATTGCGAATAGCAGACGTGTCGTCGCAGAAAACAGCTGTTTCGTGTAAAAAGATAAACATTGTGATGAAATACGAACACCACCAAACATTTCCACATTTCACTAATACCAATAAGCCGGTTAGGCCAGACCTTGTATAATTGACATCGATACCGCCCTACAGGCGTGTGTGAAATCAGAGAGCTTGCAGCACGTACCTACACCGAAAATAGTTTTCATGTAGCTCCCATTGGAAACGCAAATGTTTTTTTTTTTTTTTTTTTATTATAGTCACTTTAACACTCTTGGGTCATTCGTGACTTCGGAAACGCAAATGATTTTCATCCATAAACAAAATTAATGGAATTCATCTGAATTTAACATAACATTTATGCGATCACGTTAATTTTATATGATTTTTCATATGAATTTCATCGGCCTCATAATATTCATGTGATTTTTACCTATGTGATCACATGATATCTATGTGAAATTCACATGGTTTTCATCCATTAGATATGTGATAAATTGTTTAAGTGTAGGGGCTCCGTGCTCTGTCTAAGTATTGTATTTTGCAATTCAAACTGGCCTCCTCAAAAGTATGGAGTAGACTGGTCCACATTTATATCGGAGATTTTTTTGTATTATTGTTTTCCATAGGCCTGGCAATCCTGACCAACTATAGCGTTCGACACTAGCCAACATCTCGGGCCTTATTCCATTGCCTTTACGTGTTGTAGGCCTTATTTTACAACTGAAACATGGCCGGCTATCCAGGCCCTTATTTTTTCAACGGGCCAACCCCAAGATCTGTGCCATTTGGTGATAAAACCACTCTCTACAAATTTCAGCTCATGGGGATTTTGGTTAAAATGTATGAAGAAATAACATTCCTTCACACTTTCGGGCATATAACTGGTTCAGCAAACTCTATTAAGCTCAGAATTTCAGCACATTTAGCTTAAACTATAAGGAACAACTGTGCTGAAGACTGCATCATAAATTCAGTTAGTTTTATTGAGATATTCGCTTTTGAATGTATATGAACATGTGAGCTGGTCGAGGTTTCAAGCATCGAAATGAAGGGATAGCTTTTTCAAATGTTCATACTTAGGTTGGCAGTAAAAAACCAAAATCGTCATCCCTACCCCAATTTATAAAGTGGGCAAAATAAATTCATTTGAGACGTAATACCCAACAAGAAGAAGACCGATCTTCGGTGAACTTAACAGATATTTCCATTTTCAGCTATTGACCATGGAGAGTGGGGCGGTCCGAATTCCTGTGCTTCCCGACTGTGTCACTGTGATTTATCCTTATCCAAATGTCTAAGACGCTATCACTGTCCGAGAAAGCGAAACGTTTGCACCACATCACCTTTGAGGCTTCTTCAAAACCTGATAATGGTCTTTTGAGTTCACCCGGGATTCACTACTCAAATGTCGAAGGTGATGCATACCAGAACAGATACCAAATTGGAGAAACTAGACTTGATCCGAGACGTGTTTATCATTCCTCAAGTACAAAATAAAACAATGTAAATATGAGATTATGATAAGTTCGTTTTTATTAAATAAATTTTCTAAGAATAGAAAACATGTTGCGTTATTTTTGTCCGATTTCATAGTATTGCTAGATACGTACTCAGCCTACCTAAAATTGTTCAACTTAAGATAATTTCAGCCTGAATGAGTATAGACCATTTCCATAACAAGGAATGGAACATGATGCGGAAACAACAAGGTAATACGCAATAAATAGATCAGATAACAGTAGTACATTGTGTGAATACTTTTAGAACGGGTTGAATACGCAACAAATCAAATAATACGGTTCCTCAGATAATGCTTGATCAACTGAATGCAAACAACCGAATCCTCCGCACTATCGTGACCATGATCTGCAAGGAATAAAAAAAACATGTTTTAAACTTGAATGATTGTTTCAGCAAGGGAACGTACCGCTTTCTTGGATGATTTTCTTTAGATTCTCAATGCAGAGCGTTTTCAAGGCACGCTTTTTCGGTGGTCCCATCTTGTGCGGGTAAAGAACGGATGTGTCCACTACGATATCGTGAATAAGTTTAAGTGCTTTGAAGTCACTTTCGAGGCTATGTCCGATGAGAATTGATTCCGAATTGAACATTGACAACAGAACTGCTTGAACGTTGTACAGGGTAGTCGTAGTGTTTTGCAGTGTTTGCTCCGTGATTCCCGAAAACCTACAATGGGATGTAAAAAGTTTAATTTCGCGCTAACGCAACAGGACTACAGTATCAATTACCTAGTATTATAATCAATCACTTTGTTCGAAGGCTTCACTAGGGAGTCATATACTGTTTTCTCGTTCATATCAACTACAGTTACTCGAGTAAGCTCCAGTCCACCAGTGGTGTAGCACATTTCGCAATCCAGTGCATAAATGTCCTTTTTTGATGGGACGTATCCTTCCGCAGGTTCAATCGTCTTCACAAATCCATTGAGATCATCGTAGTTCATATAGCTACTTACGTGATAGTTGCCATACATGCAACCTGCCGTTCCAGCAGGCTGTTGGCAGCAACTGTGCATGTTATCTGCAAACCCTCTCCTGTAGCACGTGCTTTTAGCGTGATAATTACATGAATCAACTGCGAGTTCGTCATATGTTTCTAGGTTGTAAACTTTAGAGCATCGAGAACAGTAGCGTTCATCCTCGTTCGGCGGTCGTGAGGGCTTGGGAGTGTAAATCTTTGCCTTTCCTGGAGTGTCAGTAGCCCGAGGAAATCCGTTAGCTTTTAGTTGCTCTTCGGTTAGTATGCAGTCGTAAATCATTTTGTATGCCACCGTTGAAGGTGCATTATCAATCGTGTAAGTCGACTTCACGTCCGTTTTCCTGAATCGAGGTGGTAAATTAATTAAAATATCGAGATGGTGAGTTCAAATAAAATTAAAGGATGCTTACAATTTCTTGTTCACGCTCCACGATATATTATGACTCATTTTACCAGCCAGGATGACATCGTGGGAAATTGTTTTATTCCTGAAACATTAAATGATGTTACTAGTTTTAAATGTTGAATTTCATAAATCTAGCTGTTTTAATTTTAAGTGCTTCTTCGTTGGACACTTTCAACATTACTAGAAAATTTTCGTTCATGATAAAGTTCTTCTGGAAGTCTTTACCTTCCGGGTGCTCAGGTCAGATCATTTCAGAATTTTCTCACCACGCAGCAGTAGTGTGAATACTAAGCTACATAGTTTTACTGATTTTTGCGACAAATCGACTAGATATTGAACGCTTCGACCCACGTGAACGGAGTTAGAGTACACGTAGAAAAACAACGCGATAATCATATACATTGAATTTTTAATTTAAAGTCATGTTTCTTGTTAAATCAAAGAAAAAAAAATCTTTATTTCTAATGTACAGCAGCGTTCATCCTACAAAGTCGTTATTAGAAACAAATACCTTGCTTTTTAATTAACAATACGCAAACAGAAAAAAAAATGATTCCTCAGAGGAAGAATTGATTGAAGAACCTGGAGGTAGAAATTCTCGGTGCAGAAGATTTGGAATTATTAAAATTATTTAAATTATTGGGTTTGAGCGAAGAAGTAGTCGGTGCTTTATAGGTAGGAAAATTCTAATTTAATACATTTCTGCCCTATAAATAATTCTAATTATTTCAGCGAATCGATACACAGTTGACATCTTGAAAATAATCATTACACAAAGTAAATGAAAAATTGTTATTTAGATACTGCAATTTTGTAAGTATAATAAATATTATTTGACATCAAAAAAATTATTTTAATCATTTGATTTCATCTAAAATTAAAAGAAACAATTAATATGGAAAATAAATCAAATATTAGGTTATTTACATCAAATGATCTTTTTTTAGAATTAACAAAATATTTTCTTTGAAACAAAAAGCATACTTTTTTGTAGTAAAAAGAAGCGCGTGACTGGAACAAAATATATTTGTCTTGATTCAAGAAACGTCATGATAGAATCAAAGAAAAATATTGTTGAATTTACTCACAGTCACATGCAGAGTTGATTCTAAAAACAACAAACAGGTTTTTAGAATCTAATCAAATTTACTTTTGAATCAAAGAAAAAATGTGCATAGGCCCTGAGCCTACAATTTTTTTTTTTGAATTCATTGTGATTTATTTTTGAAATTAAAAGCCATTTCTCTGGGTGTACATCACGTTCACGGTACATATAAATTTCCTGATTATGGTGTTCCTCGAACCTCGAAATCCAGATCATCGTGGATCCTGCAAACAAACAAACGTTTTTCATAATTTACCTATCAAAATTCTATGAAACATCGAATACAACTGTAATTGATTGTTAGGGACAAATACCAGGTTTGTGCTGGAATTCGGCCATTTCATCTCGCATGGCGCACTGTTCTAGATGATTTTGAGCTATCACATCAGTTTGTACGGAGATCAGTCTACGTATGTAGTATAGATAGGCTAGAGATTCCATATATAAACGGAGGCACAAAAAGTTGTTCTGGCAACATGAAACATAAATGATCTTACTGGCATCCGTGAAAAATGTTCATGCCATCATATGGCTCTTCGTTGTGCAGTTTTGTTTTATTTTGTTTGGAGGGTGGAAAACACCTTGATGGCGTCATGCTCGTTTGGCTACACTAACTGATAGTTCGTTTTGCTACATTCTACTTTGCCTCCGCTTATGTATGGAAGCTATAAGGCCTGTATTCGAAAAAAATGCGCCAGAACTGGTGTACGTAATACCATAGAGGTAACTCTAAGACTAGAAGGTCCAGAAATAACGTGCTCAACTTTTAGGCACAGCTCTGGTACTCTCTTCGGTCCCAAGCTAATCGATTCACCCCTCGGAACATGGGAAAAACCAATAACCCCTCATTTTATCTGTCAAACTTTCATAGCGAATCAAAACAAACATTGCATAGTACTAGAATTTCGACTAGAATGAGGTACGTTAATCGTTTGCTTGGGACCAATAGGCTAGTCAAGTAGTGAGCCAATTTTGAATCGTTAGTTTCGTATTGATTGTTGGTAATACCCCGTTCACATTAAAACGTATATCACGTGATATACACTGTTTTGCAATGAGCATTTATACATCTAGTTTTCATAGGAAATCCTATGTATGAGTGCTCATTGAAAGACAGCCTATATTACGTGATATAGGCTGTAATGTGAACGGGGTATAACCAACCGGTGGAAACTAACGATTTTAAATGAGCTTACTACTTGACTGCCCATTGGTCCCAAGTACATCTATAAGCGTACCCCATTCTAGTCGAAATTCTAGTACTACACTATGTTTGTTTTGATTCACTATGAAAATTTGACAGATAAAATGAGGGGTTCGTGGATTTTCCTATGTTTCGAGGGGTGCATCGATTAGCTTGGGACTGAAGATAGTACCAGAGCTGAGCCAAAAAGTTGAACACGTTTCTTCGGGACTTTCTGGTCTTAGAGTTACCTCTATGGTATAACCTATAGCTCATATCGTAGTAGGCTGTGTATAAAAGAAAATGATTTACTTAGTTTGAAAGTTACACCATGACGAAGTGGCAGCGTATTCGTGATTTGTCCCAAGCGCAAATGTCGCAAAAAGACATTTCAATCGCCATGGGAGTGTCCCGGTGGACCTTCAAAAGGGTTTTAGACCGAGAAAAGAAAGGACAACTATCCGCGAAGGTGGCCACAGGTCGTCCGAGGTCAGCACGGGTTCCGAGGGTTATCGCTGCTATCAAAAGGAAGATTCGGGTGAATCCAGTGCGTTCAATAAGGAAAATGGCAAAGGAACACGGGATCAGTGACGTTACAGCACGGAAGATCGTAAAGGAAGATTGCGGGGCGATGTCGAGGGCCCGTAAAAAAAACTCACATGATTACCAACCGCATCCGGGAGCTACGAGTCGAACGATGCAAGAAAATCTTTAACTTCCTTAAGCGAAAAAATCCGGTAATCCTGTTCACCGACGAGAGCATGTTTACCGTCGATCCCGTATCAAATTCCAGAACCGACCAGTATATAGGTTCTCTGGTAAAAGACGTGGCCGACGAGCACAAGATCGTGTCTCTGACCAAGCATCCTGCTAGCGTTATGGTGTTTGGATTGGTGGCTTCCGATGACAAAAAAATGGACCCGGTGTTCATTCCAGAAGGCGACAAGGTCAGCACGGAGGTCTACATCGAGATTTTAAGTAAGATTGTTCTTCCGTGGATCAAAGAACAGTACGGTCCGAAACCAAATGTTGTATTTCAACAAGATGGGGCTCCGTGCCACACCTCGAACCGCACTCAGAAGTGGTTGCAGGAACATCTTCCGTTCTGGGCGAAGGATATGTGGCCGCCATCCAGCCCCGATCTTAATCCGCTAAATTACTCAATATGGCACGTCATGAAGGCCAAGGCCTGTTCTAAACGCCACCCGAGTACAGCAAGCCTCAGACAAACATTGACCCGTACCTGGAGAGAAATGGATCCAGACTACATTATTAGAACCTGCCGTGCATTCCGGAAGTGTGTGGAGGCCGTAATTGCAGCAAGTGGAAACTTGATCGATGATTAACATAGTTTAAGACTCTGAGAAACATCCCCCCTTTGAATAAATAAAAAAAAAACTCGAAAACGAAATTTTTGAAAAGAAATTTAATTTTGACATTGCTCAATGGTGCAAACATTACCACGCATACGGCACCTCAAAACACAGATCAGTTGGAAGTTTCTCCCGGATGATGCGTTTAATTTTTCCATATTTCATTTCATTCCCCAGCTCGTTGTCGGGTACCTCTGGTGGCAAGTAATACACACGCACATGTTGGATGAACTCACCAGCATGTGACATGCGTACCTTTGCCGTCGTTCCATTCGCATAATGTAAGATTAAATCCTCCTAATTGAATGTCAGAGCATGGAGCATCGCTTTCTCTGATTTGAACTTCATGAAGACTCCCCTTTCCTCACCAATGCGATAAACAGCTTCCATTTCAGCCGGATCCGCGTCGAGTGCTTTGGCGAAATTTACAATCTCTACGATGTTTGGTTTAGCATCACAATGGCTGAAGCTAAACTTGATGGTGTTTTTTACTTCACACATCTTGCACCGTAGCAACAAAAGGCACCGAACTGCTAGCAACGAACAAAGAGCAACCACAGAAAACAGACGTAACTCTTTGAAAAAGTTTTTCTTGAAAACATAGTATCTCAAAACATAGGACCTCAGTAGCGACATCTTTCAGGCTTCTCGCGGAAAACAAGCTTGCTCGCTAGCTCGCAAACAATATTGCATAAAAATTCTATAGAATGTATAGAAACGTCAAAGTGATCCGCTGCCAGCGCTGTGGCGAGTAGTTCGCGGAACTGATAATATTCAAATCAACCGTTAAATGCGTGAACGAAGATACACAATGAAGAGTTACGTCTGTTTGTCTGTGGAGCAACTATACCATAGCGAGTCTCGAAAACAGGCTATCGCGTGGTTCACACCGAAATAAAAAATCGACTGCTGCTGTAGACAGCTGTAGGACAACTGAGAAAATACCTATATTGTAATGTATTTGATAGTTGTTCACAAACCGGAACTCGGCACCTTGGATTTAAAAATGACGTCGTCCCCGTTCCGAAAATATCCATATTGTTGGCTATTTGACAGGATTGTACGACTTTTCCCCGAAAACCAGTCCCCCGAAAACACTTTCCCCGAAAGTTATTGCCCCGAATGTAACTTTTCCCCGAATGGCACAGTTCCCAGAAAATAATTTCCCCGAATGTACCATTTCCCCGAATCTGCGCATCTTCGCTGGTTAACTACTTGTATCGAACAATACCACAATAAACATATTAATGTGCGTCGAATAAAGACAATAGTTTGACTTTCGTTAAAACAAAATGTAAAGGTCAAGCTCCTGAAATCGGTGTAATCCTATTTCAGCAGCTTTTGACCTTTCCATGTAGTTTTAACGAAAGTCAAACTTTTGTCTTTATTCAACACATATTGATTTCTTGGTGCTCCATACAATTTTAGATTCACCCTATAAGGAGTCGCCATGTGACTAATATGTATGGCATGGGGACGCATGATATCTTTTCTTTGTTTGTATGGAGTTTTTTTTAACGGTCGTACCTATCAAACAAACACACACATTGTATGCAAATAGCTCCATGGATCATACCATATTATACGTCAAAGAATGAACTATGATTCAAAGAAAGAAAATTTCTTGCGACAAGCAAAATTTTCCCTTCTTACAGCTCGTTCTTTAACGTTTTGAAGAATAAATATCTTACTAATTTATCAAAGCGATATCTCATTGTAATAAAATTGAAGAACGAGCCGTGATACAAAGAAAGGAAAATGATATCCCTTTGATAAAACCAATTAGATACCCTAATAAAAAATTATCATAAACGAACGATAACCCAAATGTGTGAACTATTCCACAAATGGTTTGGATGATACCCAGAACACGTCGTTAAGCAAATTAACCATAACATTTTTATTAGGGTAGATATGATGCGATACGTTAAGAAACGAGCTGTGCTACAAAGAAGGAACATTTCTTGAAACAAACAACGATTTTTCTTTTTTGTATAAGGGGTGATGTACAAATTATGTCACGCCCTAAGGAGGGACGTGTAGAAATCTGTGATTGATTAATTTTGCCTCAATTTCGCGTGACATAATTAATGTATGGCCCCTAACGGCTCGTTTTTTTAATTTGATTACGATAGATATCAGTTTTATAAATTAGTAAGATATTTATTCTTCAAAACGTTAAAGAACGAGCTGTGATACAAAGAAGGGAAAATTTTGTTTGTTGCAAGAATTTTTCCTTCTTTTTATCTTAGTTGATTATTTGACGTATAACTTGGTATGTTCCATGGAGCTAATTGAATACAATGTATGTGTGTGTGTGTGTGTGTTGGATAGGTACGAACGTTAAAAAACTCCATACTAACAAATAAAAGATACCATGCGTCCCCATGCAATACATGCTATAGTCACTTTGCGACTCCTTATAGGCCGAATCCAAAATTGTATGGAGCAAGAAGAAAACACCATACACCGATTTCAGAATATTCGGTAAAAAATTACAGGAAATCTGTGAAAAATCACCGAACTGTTTACCGAACGTTCAGCTGTTGAGATTTCGGTAAAATTTCACAGATTTCGGTGAAATAATCTTAGTGTGTGACCTTTACATGTAGTTTTAACGAAAGTCAAACTATTGTCTTAAGCGAACCCCACACGGTAAGAAATATTGTCAATACTTAAAAGTATTGACAATAATATTGATGATGTGAATACAGATATATTGTCAATACCGATGTATTGACGTCAATATAAAATGCATTGACAATACGATTATTGTCAATACAAACAGTCGTGTAGAGTCCACTTTAATTCGACACACATTGATATGTGTAGTGTGGTATTGTTCGATACAAGTAGTTAACTAGCGAAAGATTTGATGAAACTGACACAATTTTCCCTTCTTTATACCAAAGCTCAGTCTTTATGCTCATTACAATCAGATATCAATTTGATAAACCGCCAAATGTCATAACAAGTCATAACCACAAACTTTATCTAGGGTGTTGAACGACTTTGTTCTGTTTATCAATATTCAGCAAAGATATTTTTCTCAATTTCATATAGATAAGTGGTAACAAACCCAAGGATCATATTTAAATAGATCGCACAGTGTAAATTGTATCTTTCGGGGAACTAGTTCTTTTGGGGAAATAGTTTTCGGGAAAACGTTCCTTTCGGTGAACTGGTTATTTCGGGGAGTCGTATTTCGGGGATAAAACTTTCGAGGAAAGTGTTTTCGGGGAACTGGTTTTCGGGGAAAAGTCGTACCATCATTTGACAGTTTTCACAAACCGCTTCGCGTAAAAAGTTTGAGCACATTGAATGAAAAATCAACATTTTAGCGCCCAATTTAAAAAAAAAACTCATTGAAAGTTCAATATGAAAGCCCTACAGTAAAAGTATGGACGTCTGTTCCAATCGAACCGTCAAAATGCACCGCTTTGCTCGATTGGAACAGCTTTTTCCAGTTTTGTGGTGACAGTCGTCCATACTTTAACTGTAGGGCTTTATTAAATATCAGTTCAGTTTCAAATTTAATAGAAATCCGTTCGCTACTAAACATGTTCTAGCAGTTAGAATTTTAACAGTGTCCAAAAATATGGGGTGGGTTATAAACTTTTGACCGGCTTCCTACTGCCAAAACAGGTAACATACCTATATAATACCTATTATATATAATATGACCTACCTTTTTTTAATAATAGGCATTAACATTATTTGGCCCCTGAGGACGGTGGAGGCCGAAATGATGAAATGTAAATATCTTCACTTACCTTTCCGCACTTTCACTTCCCGATTCCACAGCCTCCTTGCGCAGCTTGTTAATCGCCAAAAGGGCACTGCTTTTGTAGATCATTGGAGTGTTGCATTTCTTGACAACGGCCAGCTCCTCGGTTTGTGCGCGTTCATAGGCATCCTCGCAGCTTGTGTAGATGTTTAGACTATGCTTAATCATGAGATTGTAGAATTGCATCCGAATGTTGTAGGAAATTTTGGTAGAGTCTGCTTCCAGCACCGGTGGAACAGGTTTCGCTGGCGGTGGAGGTGGAGCAGCAGCAGTAGTAGCAGACGAGGTGGAAGCCACTGGCGCTGCCACTGCAGAGGCCATGTGAGCTACTCGACCGGTACCTTTGGGAACGGTTTGTGCGGTTGTACCTATTCCTTTCATTTTTCGCAGTTGTTCAATTTTTTCCTTCGCCTTCTGAAAGGCTAGAACGTTAACGGCTGGTGTGAAACGACCTAGAATTTAAAAAATATGTTTATTTATCAACACTCGTGGTAGACATTTCAAACACATACTTCTTGGTGTTGTGGTAACTACGGAATCCGGTGGCTTGCTGTAAAAACTATTTGTGCTAATAGGAGAAACAGGTGATTTATCTGTTGTAGGAGGGGTCATTATGGGCGTAGGACTCAATACTGGCGAGCGAGGTGATCCGTTACTTAGCTTTGGTGTTATGGACTTGCTCATTGCTTTGCGTGTTTCCTCTTCGATTCGTTTTTTGTTTTCTTCCTCTAATTGTTGTTTTGTTGCTAATTCCTCCTGCTGCCTACGAACAATTTCCTGACGATGATATACAGACTGTAAAAGATATTAATGTAAAAAATATTTCCAACACATTCTAAAATAAAGTTTGGGTCACCCTCATCGCGTTTTGGACATGGTTGATTCTTTTCGCCGGAGGTGGTTGTACACCGGCTTGCACTGCATTTGAACCACTTTCGTGAGCGACTCGTTTCTTCCGGTTTTCGTCGTAGCATTTTTCAGCAAACATATCAATAAGCTCGACATCGGTGCCTGGTTTTGGGTCAGGTTTTTTCTTCGGTGCTTTCTCTACTGCTGGAGCCGGTGCAGTAACAGGCTCGTCTTCGTATTCTTCGAAAATCATCCTGCATTGTCTCATCACTTCATCTTCATCGCTGTCAATGTCGATGTCGCTTGGAGGGTTATCCAACAGGTCACGGTAAATTTCATCCGCTAGTTCTACTTTTGGTTTGGACGAAGAGGAAGCTACAGCAGCTTCTGAAGGCTTTACCTTGCTGTTTGACGAAGAGGAGTGTTTTCTGGTTGAGATTGGTGTCCTACTACTAGATTTAGATGAACTTTTACTAGAATTTTGAGATGACCTGTGTCGATCTTTATCAGTGGGTTTTCCCCGATCCTTATCCTTATCTTTGTCCAAAGATTTTGTTCGCTCTTTCTCTTTGTCCGATCGTTTTTCCTTATCCCGAGAGCTATCTTTGTGTTTGGATCTCATACGATCCTTTTCGCGATCTTTCTCCTTGTCAGACCTAGACCGGTGCTTACCATCCCTATGTGAGGAAGATGAGGTTGACGACGAATGTTTACGCTCATTACTACCTGATGTACTCGACTTTCGTTCGGATTCTTTCCGGTCGCTCCGGTCCTTACGATGTTCCTTTTCATCTTTACTACTTTTCCTTTGTTTACTACTCTCATGGTTAGATTTGCGAACCGAATTACCAGTACTGGTATTCTTATCGGCATCCTTTCTTTTCGTTTCGCTTGCCACACTTGCCGATTTAACATCTAAGGCAGTTGGCTCTTCCTTTTTGTTACCGCATTCTTTCACTATGGGAATTGCAGGAGTCTTTTTTTCATCGTCATGTTTCTGCTCTTTTCCATTTTGCCCATTTGTCAGTTCCTTTTCGATACTATCAGTCTGCTCGACCCGTACCAAGGAATCACCAGTCTTAACTTCATCATCAGATTTTTGATCCGGTTTAGTTTCTTCGGCTTTACTTTGTTCGCCGGAAGAACATATTGCTTTTGCACTAGGAACATATTTGGATGTCAGAATGGTCGGCATCGGTATATATTCCAATTTGGGCTTCTTCTTGGCCGGTCCATCCTGAGATACCTCAGCGGCATTATTTTGATTCAATAGACTCTTCGGTGTGGCGCAGTAAGTAGCTTTTGGCGTTGCTTCTAAAATAAACAAACTTATCAATCCAGTTTCGTGTTACTACAAGTTTATCGCTGTTTACCAGGTTTTAAGTGCCTAAAGTGGCAAAACGGTCGGGTACAAGAATCCTTTTCGAAAAAAGGGCAATTGATGGAGCGGAACAGCCCAGTTGCTGGAAGCATCTTTGCTTCTTCTGGTAGCTATCGCGCAGTAGAAAGCTGGTTTCTCAATTTGTTTATATTAATTCCAATACTATTTGATTGAAAGTACAAACTAAATGCTGTTATTAAACATTAAATTGGACAATAGATTCTGCATAAACTAAAATTAAAATCGCCATCCGCAAAAAGAGTTGACACACACTGGGGAAGATGAACATGACAGATGTTTTGCGTTTTGAACGAAGGTGCTGAACACTGCTGAATAAAAGACGTCTTGATTATACACTCAAAGATAAATTAAATCAAAAAAGCTTAAAAAGTATGCAGATTCCCGCTTCACCTTATAGAGATTACACTGATAAATTAAACTATTCCCATTTTGCTTGAAATGTAATCAATTTGACATGAAACTCAGTTTAATCATATCAAATGATTAAACATTAATGCTCTCTTTCTAAAAAAATAGGCATCTGATATTGACCACAGTTTAATCATGGTTGATTAGATGGGAGATGATCTTTTATGAATATATTTTAATATTTTTTGATTCTATTTGAATAATTTTTGATTGAATTTTAATCTTTTTTGATTGTATATCAGTATTGAATTTAATACTGGAAAGATTATTTCGAATTTAATCATGCATGACTACTGCCGAAGTAATCATGGCTCGAACTCAATAAGGTGAAGCGGGAATCTGCATACTTTTTAAGCTTTTTTGATTTTATTTATCTCTGAGTGTAGTGACGTTTAACGCGCGCACACTAGCGGGAGCAACGCTGTGTAAAGTTGTTTATTATTTTCCTCTGGCTATCCTAAAAAATGTATGAAAGTAGATCTGTCAAAATGAGTTTGACATCGATTTGTTATATGTATTCCTCGGATATTCACTAGCTCTCATATATCCTCCCGCATAAACGCGAACCATAAATTGACCTTACCTAAAATGGTTAAAAAATGTTTATAATCCCTGCTAAACTTTAACTGAAATGGTTATGGAACTTTACATGAACGTTTAATGATAAAGTTTCAACCTTATGTATTATGGTTTTTTGGAACTGGACCTTACAAATAATGGGTTGTTAAGAACCATTACCATTCCAAATTTTTGTTTTCTCCATACATTTTCAGAAAGAGAACTATATAAGAACGTTTTTACTTATGATTTGAGAACATTAATGGTAATGGTTATGGTAGTCAGTAAGGTCCATTAATGGTTTTGTATTATCGCTCAACTTTACGTGGAATAATGGGTTGTTAAGAACCATTACCATTCCAAATTTTTGTTTTCTCCTTACATTTTCAGAAAGAGAACTATATAAGAACGTTTTTACTTATGATTTGAGAACATTAATGGTAATGGTTATGGTAGTCAGTAAGGTCCATTAATGGTTTTGTATTATCGCTCAACTTTACGTGGAATATATCGTGGAATATATCGTGAATTGGTAATCAGTAAATTACAGGCAACCATCTCAGTTAAAGTTTAGCAGGGATTATAAACAATTTTTAACCATTTTAGGTAAAGTCAATTTATGGTTCGCGTTTATGCGGGCTACCAATACAACCAGACGTGAAAACCTCTATTGAGTCCGCCCAAGGCTGAAAACCTCCTTAATAATGAAAACCTAACCTAACCTTATTGAGTCCGAGCCATGATTACTTCGGCAGTAGTCATACATGATTAAAATTGAAATGATTTTTCTGTCTGTCTGTCTGTCTGTCTGTCTGTCTGTTTGTCTGTCTGACCCTTATAGACTCGGAAACTACTGAACCGATTGGCGTGAAAATTTGTATACAGGGGTTTTTGGGGCCGTGGAAGGTTCTTATGATGGTTCGAGACCCCTCCCTCTTGTGTAAGGGGGGGGCTCCCATACAAATGAAACAGAAATTTCTGCATAACTCGAGAACTAATCAAGCAAATGGAACCAAATTAGGCATGTGGGGGCGAGTGTGTGGGTATAAGGAGATAATCATAGGGGGTAGCCCCTTAGATAATAGGGGGGGGGGGAAGGGGCAACGTACAATATAGCATGCTTTTTTTTTAAATCGGCACATAAACTCAAGCTAATATTGAATCCCGAGCAAGACCGGGCACACTCAGCTAGTACTGATATATAATCAAAAAAGAATAAAATTCAATCAAAAATTATTAAAATGGAATCAAAAATAATTCAAATTTATTCAAAAAAAGATAATCTACAATCTAATCAACCATGATTAAACTGGGATTAATATCAGGTGCTTATTTTTTTAGAAAGAGAGGATTAATTTTTAATCATTCAATGATTTATGAAATTATGGAATAATAAGATATTCTGATGATATTTTGTATGTGTAAGTAATAAGAAAAGATTGTAAAGTTTGTGTTTGACAAATCAAAACTGCAAATTTAGCTTTGATAGAGTCACAATAAGCGTTTTTCTGATCGCCTCTTCGCGAAGAGTGAAGAGCGAAGAGTGGGTGAGATAAATTACAAAATCGCTTATTGCGACTCTCATGTATTAAAATTGGCAGGTATTATGTGTCAAACACAAACTTTATAATCTTTTCTTGTTGTTTACACAATCAAAGTATTTTCATAATATCTTATTATTCCATACTTTCTTAAAACATGTTGTTAGCTCGGTTGTTAGTCAAAATGAATGGAAGGCACCCTGGATTAAACTGAGCTTAATGTCAAATTGATTAAATTTCAAGGAAAATGGGAATAGTTCAAATTATCAGTGTAGTCGCTTCCCAGGTCGCTATTGTCGTGACCTGGTCGATGTTTCAAGCATCGACCATTTGTCACTATGACTGTTTCAGCCAAATTGTCCCACGTTGTTCCTACACACAAAGAACAAGTATAGTTTTAATAAAAATAATGCATTCTTAAATTGAAAGTTTCCCAAAATTCGTAATTTCAACTACGAAAACATTAAAAACCAAAGTAATGCTTTTGATTTAAATGTGCTTCTTTCGCCTTCAACTTGTTAATGTTAAAAGTACACTTTTTAAAAGAAAAGTTGTTAAACTGTCAAAAATACCTCTTCGTAGCGACTTACTGGCAGCACTGAACTGAGCCGACTAATTTACAGTCTTTATGCCAATCTGACCGCTAGTGGAAATTAAATAATAAACCCCAAAAATCTCGCATTTTTGTTACCATTTCCAATGTTGGTAATGTTTCAATACAATAACTACAGATTGTTATTGTTCCTGTTTACCTTAAGGCAGGTAAGTAAAATTTTAGTGAGATGTTTGTTATCCTAATGAATAAATTTTATTATATTCTTGTTCTGCCCGATTTCAGGTTATGATTATACCTCTTCCATAAATTCCATTCGCCAAACGTTAATCCGGATCTCCTATCTAAATGTCGAGTCAGTCGTCAGGTTGAAGGGAGTTCTCCTCCGGCCAGGATCGCGATCTACATAGTCCGCATAGTTGCTATTTGGTGATTTGGATGACTACACCGCAACGGAATTTGTTTTTTTCCCTATGCTACTTCTAGCCACCATTGGAGTTAAACAAGCCATTTGCATGACAGAAAGAATCTAAAACCGCGAAGGCGAATCGAATTCGAATTCAGCTATGAAAGGTTAGTATTTATGACTAGCAAATCCGGTACCAAATAGCTAAATGATGTTTTTCCTCCAGGTGAAATTATCCCTATAGACGAGATGAAAATCCCATCCGCGATCACGTCTTCAGTGTCTGGATCAAAGGAAGGAGCTGTTTTAACAAGCGAACAGACTGGATTTGCCTATAGTTAAACGTAATGTGGAAGCCGAACGGAAACCTTTCGCTATGTTCCAATAAAAATAAAAATAAAAATAATATTGTTATGTTGAAAATGATTTTATTTGGATCGATAATAATAGCTCATTTCATTTTAACTATACTAAAGTTTCTTGACAAAAGCTTGTTTCGAAACAACAATAATCCAATTTTATTTCAACACTGTCGTGCTTTTCATTTGACAGTAGTACAATTCATTTTGAAAGTTTAAACTTTTAAAAGTAGTGAGGTGACTACTTTTGATTTGACAGCTTGCTGACTTTTGGTTTGAAAGCTAAGCGCTTTCTACCAAAAAGAACCAACGCAAACTTTTAATTCTACCAACGGATTTTTTAATTTTAGCAACGATTATTTTTTGTGTGTAGCGTCCGTCCACTCTAAAATTAGTCAACAGAATGACGAAACGAGCCATGAACAAGCGTGATAAATGCGATGCGATGAATATCATTCCGCACTCTTCCATCCCATAGCGTCATTTTAATCATACGTCCTATCTCGCTCACTTCGCGTCCTGTGCTTTGGTCGTTTCGTAGACGTACTTCGATTATAATGACAAGTACCGCATTCGTGTATTCGGAGCTTTCCGAAATCATGTTCGATCACTCTTACGTGTATTTGTCAGTTTGCTATTTCATGAGAGTCGACTTCTAATGCTGCTAAATGCATTTTGCTGACATCAAACTAATTAGCGGTAAATTTATGTATAATTCATTACTACCTTACCACAGACAAACAGACATAACACTCGCAAATTGTTCATCGAACAAGCATTTAACGGTCAATTTAAAAGTATCGTAGTTGGTAGTACCGCCACCTGTGGCGCGCATAGTCAATTCCCTTGCGTTTGACGTTTACACACTACCGCCATCTGTTCAGCGTACTACCCACCACTGTGTATTCAACAGATGGCGGTAATGCTTTAGCGACGATGTTTTACAGTGAGAAATATTCAATGTGTTATGTCTGTTTGTCTGTGACCTTATCATAAATACTACAGCTATATTCCTCGCTGTATTCATAGTCTGGCGGATAGAATTTCGATCTATCAAAAAGCGGAACCAATTCAATATATTGTTGACCAGCAATTGAAAAGGTACTATGAACGTTCATAAACAAAACGTTGATTATTCTTTCCTCGCGAATCGAAAGTAAATTACCAGCATCATCGGATAGAAGAAACTTTCCACAACCTAAAAATGGTGTTAGTTTGTGAAGGCGAGCATTGAGTCACGAGAAAACGGTTTCCGTAATTTTTTTTGCAATAGCTGATGTGCTCTTTTCTGTTGTTGGTCGTGATTTGCTCGATTGGTTCCGCTATTTGACAGCTCAATTGGTTCCCGAGATTCTATCCGCCAGACTATGAATATAGCGACTATACTCAAGGCTGCGGCCTATACTATACGGCCA